TACATTTCAACTCAATAATGCCTATAATATAGATCTTTATATGTTCCACTTGATTTTTGATGACTTCTAATTTTCCTAGATTCTTATTTCATATGTACTACATTCTGATTATTAATGGATGTTTGCAGCTGTCTCTTCTCCTTTTGAGACATGCTCCATCAGAAAATGAAGGTCCAGAGAGCTGTCCTCCATCCACGTCATTCTAGTCAACCTAAGGGAAAGGTAGCGTCCTCAGTTGTATTTTGAGTGTCTTCCAACCTGAGGGGCTCATTTCCTGGCACTACATCTGACCGTGTCCTGCTGTTATTCTGAGCATCTTTCAGTTGCTAATCCCCCAGGACAGCCCAGTCCTTCATTGTAGTCTGTTCCTAGTGTGGAAGCTCTGCTGAAATCTGTTAGTCATGGACAACCCTGCTGGTATTTGAAAGACTGGGGACACAGCTTCTAGCATTGCAGCAATATCCAAGCCACCAAAGTATGACAAAGGGACAGGCCAGTGGTGTAATTTGTATATGAGGCTTCACAAAGTTCATGGAAAAAGATAATGGGGAATTTTCACAAGCTATCTGAAGTCCCTTTTTTATTCGTGGCACAATTGAGTAAAATTTAAACTTTACACACTTATAGAAATAAAACAGTTCTAGTGAGCGAAGGACAGTGACTTTTGTGTGCTGCTGTTCTATAGCCCAGTGTCTTCATAAACACCTACGTATTTGTTTTAACTTACTATTGTGCTACGTTGGACACCAAGATTAATATTTCTCAAGACTTTTTTTTGAGAAGTGGGAGAGATACTCATTTCTTGATTTACACTTGGTCTTTGTTATACATTTGAAGCTGAGAGAACCATACAGTTTAAGTAGACATGTGCATACGTACAGAACGGAAGAGATCGGCAGAATAAAGTGTATGTCTGTATTTTGGTTGTCTGGGTATCTGTAGAAGGAAAAGGGAACATGACTAGTAAAATGGGGATGAATCGGAGGAGCCTAGGCTGAGTGATCTGAATTTCGGTTCACTGGATCCACGACTGGTTCTACCAATGGTCTGTCAGGTTTGTCATGCTGTGGTGGTGTAGGTGCTGCTCGGATGCTGGAAGATACGTCACCGGTATTTCAAGTGCTGGCAGGGTCACCCAAGGGAACACCTTTCAGTGGCGCTTCCAGACTAGGAACGGACAACAAAGGACTTGGATCCCCGCTTCGGAAGAAATCTTATGCACAGCTTCAAAGCATTTTCAAATACCGAGAGCCTACACGAAGGAGGCAGAACATTGTCAGAGACACTGTGAGTGGGATGGGACCCTCGGTCCCAGGGCACCCACGACATGAATGACAGACAGCTGATTCCTTGGAGGGGTCGACCACGGTGACATGGACAAAGCCTGGGGGCGTGGAGTCTTCGGGATTTTCACTTGTCGACGGGGCACGACTCGAGGTAAAGAGAAACAGCTGCAAAAATCGAATGACTTGAATTTGGAATGTGCGAAATCTGAATTTAGGAAAACTGGAAGTCGTAAAACATGACATGGAATGCATGAAGATTAATATCTAGGAATGAGTGAGCTGACACAGACTGGTATTGGCCATTTTAAATTAGAACATCATATGTTTTACTGTGCTGGGAATTATACAAGCAAGAGGAAGGGTGCAGCATTCAATGACAGTCAGGATCTTGCTAAATCCATCATGAACTACTATATATATATATATATTTGAAGTGTAATATTATCTGTGATCAGATTACATCGATCGCCTTCAAGGCAAAACAAACTACACAGATCTACACAAAAGCTAGTGATTAAGAAATTGAAGCATTCTACCAATGACTTGGTCGGTCGGAAATTGATCAAAAATGCAATCAAGACACATTAATAGTTATTAGTGATTGCAATGCAAAAGCTGGAAACAAAGAGGAAGAAATAGTAGTTGGAAAATATGGACTTGGTGGATCAAAATGAAGCTGGAGATCGCATGATAGAATTGTGCGAAACTAACGACTTGTTCACAGCAAATACCTTTTTTCAACAACACAAAACATGGCTGACTATACACATGGACTGCCCTAGATGGAATACAGAGAAATCAAATCGACTTCATCTGTGGAAGGACAGGATGGAAAAGCTCAATATTAGCAGCTAAACCCAGAACAAGGGCTGACTGTGGGACAGGCAATCAACTGCTGATGTGTAAGTTCAGGATAAAGTGGAAGAAAATTAAAATAAGTCCACAGGAGCCAAAATACTATCTTGAGTCTATCCCACCTGAATTTTGAGAACACGTCAAGGGCAGATATGACACATTACACTGATGACAGAGACTGATGAGCTGTGGGAGGACAGCAAGTCTGTCATTCATGAAGAAAGCAAAAGGTCACCGGAAAGACACTTAAGAAAGCAAAGACCAAAGTGGATGTCGGAAGAGACTCTGAAACTTGCTATTAATCGTAGAGGAGCTGCAGCAAATGGAAGACAGGATGAGGTGAAGGAGCAGAAAGTAAATTTAAAGGGCAGCTTGAGAAGACAAGGCCAAGTGTTATAATGACATGTGGCAGGATCTGGAATTAAAAACCCAAAGGGAAGAACATGCTCAGCATGTCTGCAACGGAAAGAACTCAAGGAAAAACGGAAGCCTTGAACTGCAATTATGAAAGATTCCGTAGGCACAATATCGAATGACGCAGGAAGCGTCAAGAGAAGACGGAAAAGAATATAATCCCTGTACCAAAATGAACTAGTTGACCGTCTACCATTTCAGGAGGCAGCATATAAGCAAGAACCAAGGGTGCTGAAGGAAGAAGTTCAAACTCCACTGTATGTGTCAGCCAAAAACAAGGGTCCAGGAATTGATGGACTAGCCACTGAAATGTTTCAAAGAGCTGGAAGCACTCACTTGTCTATGCCAGGAAATTTGGAAGACAGCTTCCTGGTCAACTGACTAGAAGAGATCACTAGTTGTGCCCATTCCAAAGAAAGGTGGCCCAACAGAATGCTTGAACTATAGAACGATATCCTTTATATCACACGCAAGTACAATTTTGCTCAAAATCATCAAATAGCATTTGCAGCAGCACATTGATGGGGAATTGCCCTACGTTCAGTTCAGATTCAGAAGAGGACGGGACACAAGGGATGTCATTGTGGAAGTCAGAGAATACCAGCAAGGCGCTTACATGTATTTCACTGATCGTGCCAAGACGTTCTACTTCCCTGGGCTCATTCAGAACGGGCACGTGGATTACGAGGCAGTTGCGCGGACAGAACAAGGGAATACGGCATGGTTTAAAATCAGGAATGATACTCTGCCATGCTTGTTCAACCTGCATGCTGAGGAGATCATCAGAGAAGCTGGATTATGTGACGACAACGAGCATGGAGGAAGGCTTGTTAACAGCAGCCGTGCTTGCTGACAGGAGGACGGGAAGCACTTGCTGATAAAGACCCAGGACTGCAGCCTTCAGTCTGCAGGCAGCTCAATGTCAAGAGACCCAAAAGCCTCACCATTTCGACATACCGTCAGGGGAGACAGTCGCTGGAGAAGGACACGATGTCTGGTTAAAGTGGAGGCGTGGTGAACAAGAGGAAGTCCCTTGGGGAGAGGGGCTGACACCGTGGCTGCATGCAAGGGCGCAGGCACAGCAACAGCTGTGAGGTGGCACAGGAGCGGGCAGGGCTGCCCTCTGCTGTGCACAGGGTCGCAGGCGACACTGTGGCACCCAACAACAACAACAACAACGGCTCCTGAACAAAGGAGTCCTGAGTAAAGTCATTATGTCCAGCTACATGTAACAGGGGCAGGAGATGTTAGGAGCCACATACCGGAGTCGATACAGGTCTGGATTGGGCTCTGGTGATCCAAACGTGCTTCAGAATCACCTGAAGGGTATCATGTGGAAAACGCCTATTTCCTTGTCCTCACCTGCAGAGGTTCTGCCTCGGTGGCACTGGTGCAGGGTGTGGGATTTGGCTTTTTTAAACGAGTGAGACTCTGGAAATTGCAGTGCGGGTGGTTTCTACACCACACTTTCAGAAACACTGGCTGTGCTACAGAAATGGAAAGGAAGGGGCAAATCTGATGAATGCTATGTAGAAAGCCACTTGAAAACACCGTTTCCCCGAAAGTAAGACATCCCCCGAAAATAAGACCTACGTACAGCTTTGCCTCTCGCTGAAACATAAAGTATCCCCCTGAAAATAAGGCCCCGCGACGCTACCATAACTCTGGACTCTGGACCGTAGTGGCGGGCGCCTCAGCGCAGCTCACTGTTGGCCGCAGCGCAGCCGGAGCAGACAGGAAGTGCGAGGTCTCTTAAAAAAACAATAAACAATATATGTGTACCGTATTCTTCTTCATGGAAAAATAAGACATCCCCTGAAAATACGACCTAGCGCACCTTTGGGAGCAAAAATTAATATAAGACACTGTCTTATTTTCGGGGAAACAGGGTAGTTGTATTTAAGACACATCAGGTATTTGCCAGAAGCGGAAGGAGAAGCGATGAAAAGATTCCACAGCCACAGGCTCCTAGGAAAGAGGTGGGCAGAAATGCAAAGCTGCTTTTGTCAGTCCTTCAGGTCTCTGGGGGACGATGCCCTGAGGCCATGAGACTCGAGGCTGGAGAAAGGGTGGTAAGGTCAGGGTTGACCACACTGTGTGCCAAGATGCCAGAGATGCTTCCACTGAACGAGTGAGAGGCCTGAAGGGATTGGAACCGAGGGAGAGGTGGTAGGGGATGGAGAAGAGGAAGGATTAAAGGAACCATCCCTGGTGAAGTGGATGAAGAGGGTGCTCATGGCTGGTTCCGAGGCTGCCGGGTCAGATCCGGCTACTGGCTGGCTTCTCCGTGGCAGAAAAGGGAGCCAGCTTGAGGGGAATCATCTGCGATTGCCTTCTTCCAGCCCTCCTTGCGTCACACCCACAAACAAGCAGGAGTTAGAGGTGTGACTTGGGAGAGCAGTACTTCTCAAAATTTCGTGTACATATGCATCTCCTGGGGATTTCTGTTACAAATGCAGATTCGGAGTCAGAAGAAATGCGGCGGTGGACCGGAGAAGTCTGCCCTTCCAACATACGCCCAGCTGATCTCAGTGCTGCTGGTCCTCAGGCCACACTTTGAGAAACGAGGTGTTCAAACCTCTGTCGGGTGTTGTGCTATACACGGAGGGAGACAACAGCAGGCTGACAAACCAGAGTTAAGCGAGAGATTTGCCATGGAAACAAACTACTACTTTCAGTTAGTGGTGGTGGAGAGCAATTACATGCCCCGCCCCACCCCACCCCTGAGACATTTGGCAATGTTTGCAGACATTTTTGATTGTCAGAAGCGGGGTGGGTGCTCCTGTTATCAGCAAGTAGAGGCTAAGGATGCCACTAAATGCACTGCAAGACTCAGGGCAGACCCCCCCAACAAAGCATTATCTGGCCCCCAATGTTAATAGGCCAACGGTGAAAAACCCTGTTTAGATGAAGGGAACCTTTTATAGTAGAAAGAGCATGGCTTTGTAGTCAGGCAGATTTAGGTTCAAAAATAAGCTCTGATATTTACCTGACACATGACCTTTGGAAAGTCACTACCTTTGCTGTGTTTTACTTCTTCAACCATGCTAAAGGAATGGCCAGTTGTGGGGGTTATAACACAGCAGACATTGGATAAACATCCGTCTCTTCTCCTTCATTCCTGTCATAGGGTTCGCAAACCAGCATAGCCATGGAAGGTAGAAGGAGGACTGAGCGGATTAGGGTTCTGCTCGGATGTCTAGGGCAAAAAGCCCCCCTACATTGAGAAATGAATACTAACCACCAGGTTGCCAATCACCATGACCATCATAAAGACAATGAGGCACATGGCCTGGCCTGCCACCTCCATGCAGTCCCACATGGTCTCGATCCACTCTCCACACAGCACTCGAAAGACAATGAGGAAGGAATGAAAAAAGTCATGCATGTGCCAGCGAGGGAGCTCGCACTCCTGGTTGATCTTGCAGACACATTCTTTGTAGTTCTTTCCAAAGAGCTGCATCCCCACCACGGCAAAGATGAAGACGATGATGGCCAACACCAGGGTCAGGTTGCCCAGAGCACCCACGGAATTCCCAATGATCTTGATCAGCATGTTCAGGGTGGGCCAGGACTTGGCCAATTTGAAGACCCGGAGCTAAGGAGGAGAAGAGCCCACACGAAAACCAAATGACAATCCATTCTCTCTGCAAATGGCTCAGAGAACACATACAATTAGTGAGTGCAGTTTACATTTATTAAGCAGCCTTGAGTGAGTCCCAGGACTTTCTAATAATATCTTCATCTAAATGGGGGAGAAACTGGCCTAGATAGGGAACAGGGGATTGATTTCATAGTATGTGAAAAATAAGAACACTGACCCTAATCTTCTGTATTATTCTCGAGGTAGATTCTTTGAAAAAACCCACATACAAACATATCTCTTTACTATGATGTTTCCCTGGACTCTGACAGGCTATGTAAAAAATAAAAAAAACGTGGTTTGTGGGGAAAAGGCCAGCATGATATGGATAGCGGGGGG